ATATAGACCTTCCTCCTGCCCCCTGGAATGTTCTCACCCCTCACCTCGACCTCTTAGAATCTCATGTTTCCCTCACGCATCAGATCAAATGTCATCTCCTAACTGTCCCATCTCTTGGCACTCTTCCCCCTTCAATTTTACTTTCTGTATTTTTCCAGATATTTACTTATCTGTGGTCATGTTGTTCCCTCTTCATGTCCTCCTAGTAAAATGTAAATTACTTGATGGTAAAGACTATTTTTATTTTTGTAACATACACACGTATGGAGAGTAGTATATCTTTGGCTAGAAAAGGGGTAGCCCAGGATTCAGACTGTGGTTTTATCAATATCGGGAATTTTGACACGGAAAATCCTTCAATCAGTGCTATTCAATAACTCAATCTACATCTCAGTCTTAGGACACACAACTAGTACGTGTCAAAGAAAAGACTAACCTTTTTCTTCCTGAGTCCATAGCAGACATTATCCACTAAGCTATTTTGCCTCCTGGCATAAAATATCTCATACAGAAAATGTGTGATCAGGAAAAGAGGCGGTAGAAGACCTAGAGGCATTGAGTAGATCTGCTTTGGAGATCACTTTATGGGAGGACACCAACAAGAACACAAATGTTGAGAAGGTAGATAATAGATTTAATAACAGATATAGAACAGAACAGAATATAGAAAATTGATTTAGAACTAAAGAAGGCAAAGGCCATCTAGTTCAACTCCCTGAGACCCAGAGAGGTCATATACCCAGTAAGTGACAGAGGTGAGATTAGAACCCAAATCTTCTGATACCAGATCTGGTGGTTTTTCCACAGTGGCAAATTGCCTCTCCATAGCTTATGATTGACACTAGTAGAGGGAATGCTCACATCCATGAAATCACACTTCTGTTCTAATAATTAGTGAGAACTCAATGAACAAGCACTTACTAAGAACTGTGTGCCAGGTACCATGCTGGGCTTGTAAAGACAAAAGCAACCAAAAAAAGGAATGGGAAGAGAAAATTTTTTTTAAAAAAGTCATGAGTGAATGTGAGAGATTGCCTGTGGAGTTCTATTAAAATAAACAAACAAAAAAACCCAACAACAACAACCCCCAACAAAACAGAAGAAAAAGCATGTTTTGGGAAAGACTGTTTGAGAAGAGAGATGCTCAATGTGAAGAGAGAAAAAAGAAAGGAGATGACGGGGGAAAGCCCTTAGTTCAGACAGTTCCCTGTATTGTCACCAGGTGGCCCCATCGATTGGAGTAGCTTGGTTGCTGGTCACAGTGTGGGCTAGGGTAGGGTGCAGGGGCATCAGGAAAAATGAGGAGGGGGGAGACAATATCCAACTTTGTTGGTACTTCCAAGATGCTTGTAAAGCAGTAAGTGAACTCCGGAAGTATCTCTGAACATGTGAAGTTATTCTGAAATTACTAAGGCTAACAATACAGTCTAATTTTGCAAGCTTAGAATCACGGAACTTTTGGGTTTGCCTTTGGCTATATACACAGTCTAAAAACGCTAAGGCCTTCAGATGGCTATTCTATGAGTCTGGTTCTTTTTTTTTTTTAACCTTATGCTAGGTCCACACAATAATTACTTTAACTGGTTTCTGGCTTTCAAGTAAGAGCCCACATCAGAATTGACTGAGAAATGAGGAACTTTTCTGAGGAAATTCACAGTTTAATAATGCATTTGGCCAGGGGGGATTATAACTACTTTAGTACTAGGGGAGTGATCGACTTAACACTGAAATTCCCTCATTGGGCATTCATTTCAGGCAACTCTCAATTATCCAGGGGGTGGTTTATCCAGTTTGGAGATTATCCATGCCTCTGGCTTCTCCTCCCCTCTACTGTCTGCCCTTTGGCTACTGTTATAACTCAAATGAGCACTTCTGTGGGAGAGAGGTAGAGGAAAGGAAAAGAGGTGAAATTCAAATCAGGCAATTTTGCTGCTTATTAGCAGCTCTTGTAAACCAAATGGTGAAACCAATGGCTAAAGTAGGGTTTTGGATTATCTGTGGATTTCTTGTGCCATGCTTCCCCTCCATTTACCGAGGAAATTTGGACTTGGCTGAGGACTGACTCCATTTTACACGAGGGAACAGCAACTAGCAATGCTTAGAGCCCATCATTCACAGACATATACCATTCCAATAATCCAATGGTATAATCCAATGGAGATCCATGGGTGTTTCATGGATGTGGGCACTTCCATTCCGTGGTGCACTTTACAGCCCATCTATCCATGCCTGCCCATCCTCTGCTGCCACTTCCATCCAAGTCTCCCCCTACATGTGCCACAGGTAATTTCCATGTGCTGTACTGACATTGTGTAGATAACAATGGAGCACAAGAGCTGTCCATTATCCTTTCTCTTTTTGTTGTTATTATTATTCAGTCATTGTAGTCCAATTCTTCCTGACCCCATTTGGGGTTTTCTTGGCAAAGATACTGGAGTGGTTTTACCATTTCCTTCTGCAGCACATTTTACAGATGAGGAAACTGAGACAAACAAGGTTAAGTGACTTACCCAGAGTCACACAGCTAGTAATTGTCTGAGGCTAGATTTGAACTCAGGTCTTCCTGACTCCAGGTTGGCACTCTATCCACTGTGCCACATAGCTGCCCCTCCTCTTCCTCTGTAACTAATCTTTTCTTTTTCCATTCACATATTTCTCTGACACCATTCTTTATACCACCTCGCCCACATAATTCTTTGTCTGAAATGGGTTGAAGTCCTCTCGTGCCCACAGTGCATCTCTACATTGCCCTTCGAGTAATCCCCAGCCTTGATTTCTTCTGATACTACAGCATTCCACAGACACTCAGGCTAATAGAATGGTACCATTGGAAGGAATCTTAAGAGATAATCTAGTTCAGCCTCTTCATTTTAGAGAGAGAGGAGAGAGACAGTTTTAAAGGCCCTCTCAGCTCTTTGAAAGTGAATTGCCTACGATCATATAGCTTGTTCATAACTTCTTCAAGAGGCATGAAGAAAGTCAGCATAAAGGCATGAAAAGATCATTGGATCTGGAAGTCAGAAGACCTGGGTTCACATCTGATAGTTACCACCTCTGTGACCTTGAACAAATTATTTTGCTTCCCTACACTCTGCTGTACAATGATGGGATTGGATTAGACCCTATCTAAGAATTCTTCCCAGCTCTAAATCTTGTGAGCCTCTAAGTGACAGTCATGCTGAAGATTATGTCTAACACTATGAACTTTAAAATAATTATCAACAACCCCATTAAAGCAATAGTGGCCTCTTGTTCTCTGTCTCCATCACCACTGTAGTCTAAATAAGAGGAAATGAGTTTAAACTGCAGCCGGAAAGAAATGCTAACCATCATGGAGATCCTTTGACAGACAGGCTAGTCTAAACCAGTTTAAGAGAGACTGAAATGTCTGCTAATTTTCCAGACCTTCCCTTCCTACCCTAATCCCCTCTCCCTCAAGTAGGGTACAAAGACATATGCAAATGCACAGTTGGCCTAAGAAGAGGGTAGACACTAGGGCTTCTGGAGAGGTCAGTGACAACTGGACACTCTTTGAAGTGCCTGAGCCTGAACCATGAACGAGCTTTCCCCACTTCCCTGCTCCAGAGGCTCTTAGCTGTCTTTTCTCCTGGACAAATGGCAGCATCCTGTTTAAAAAGCCTCTCTCTCTCTCTCTCTCTCTCTCTCTCTCTCTCTCTCTCTCTCTCTCTCTCTCTCTCTCTCTCTCTCTTTCTCTCTCTCTCTCTCTCTCTCTTTCTCTCTCTCTCTCTCTCTCTCTCTTCTCTCCTCTCTCTCTTCTCTCTCTCTCTCTCTCTCTCTCTCTCTCCTCCTCCTTCTCCTCCTCCTCCTCCTCCTCTTTCCTCCCTCCCTCCCTCCTTCCCCCTCTTTTTCTCTCTCTCAGGGTTTCTTGGAAATAAACTGTGTTTACATGTTAATATTTAGTTGTGTCCTGGGGCATGGGGAAGCAGGACATGTGAACTGAATTTACGCTGAACAGCATGGTTACAAATGTGTCAGAAAAACAACTTTGGCAAAGTACACTGTTCCCCTCTTTCCCTCTACCCCAATTCCCCAGTCTTATATAAGAAACATGGTTGGTCTCATCCCCTGTTTCTTTAAAACCAAAATAGCCGATCAGCCAGCCCTGTTCCTAGTTTCCTGGAGCTTGGGGCAAAGCACAATAGGATTGCTTTCATATTCACATCCAAGAGGCCCTACGTGACAGACATCTTTGTTCCCAGGCCGCAGAGTCAAAGCTGCCTCTGTTTTTGAAGAAGTGTTACCAAATCTCAGTGTCACCAAATTGCTTGGGTTCATTCACTCGTCCTCCTGCTTCATGGCCCTTCGCATCCCTCCCCTCGACCAAAACACGCAGACTTCATCCTCCCAAAATAGCAGCTTTGCAGGAAATGTGGCAGAGCCTCTCGCTCAAGATGAGAATTTCCAGAGCTGGGGCTGTGCTGCTGAATCACTCAGGGGTGGGATGCTGGGGGGAGGCTGAGAGATGGAGGAGAAGGATGTAGCCGAGGGTCTGGCAAGGGAGGGGAGAGGCAGGCTTGAGAAACCTCTCCCAGTGATACTAGGAGATTTTTATAGCAGCGTTTACAAGTCTGAGAAAGAGGGTGAAACCTCACATGAGTCACTTTGCTGCTATTCACAAGCTGCCTGGTGAGATGTGAAAACTGTGGCTCGGTTGTCCATAAAGCAGAGAACCATCAACACCGGCTCCCATCTTCCTCTCCTGTTTTATCCACCCAGCCCCACCCCCCACCCCACTCTCCCCTGCACAAACACACACACAGAAGAGAAAGAAAAGAAAAAAAAAAGATGATCTCCAAATGGTCTTTTGGCTCATTTTGAGAGCTGTTCCAGAAGAGTTAAAATGCATTTGACCTTTGGATGAACTCATTCCCGGGAATTCTTATTTCCCCACAGGAGTCTGTGGTTACCTGGTCGCACGGAATATGGAATATGGAATATGGGCATTGTGAGAGCTGGAAATTCCAGGCCCTCAAGGGAGAGCTTCAAAAGAAGCCCCTTTCATTGCAAAATAAACAGGAGCCAGCCGGCCCACCCTTTAATACAGGACTGCCTGGGTGGTATGTACACCTAGAGAGGAAAAGGAGGCAGCTCGATGGCTAGGCTCTCCTTACTCTGCCTGGGGTGGGGGGTGGGGGGCTTCCAGGGTCTGGAGTCAGAAGGTCTGGGTGCAGTTCTGTCTTGGCTTCTCATTGCCTTGGGACTTTGGCAAAGTTCCCTTCTCTCTCCTGGCCCTGGTTTCTTCACCTGGGAAACAAAGGGGGCTTGGGTTCTAAGGTCATTTCCATTTCTAAATCCTGGGACCCTCGAGCTTCCTCTCTGTTATTGCCATTTGGACGGTCCACACGTAGACCAGGGCCAGGAGGCACAAAACCTCAGCCAGATGAAAAAGGGCATACATTTGTCATGTTTGGCCCCAAGAGACAGAACCAGGAGCCACAGAGGGAAGATGCAGAGGCCAGATTAGGGTTAGGACAAACCTTCCTAACTAGACGCAGCTGGGTGGTACAGTGGATGGAGCACTAGACTTGGAGTCAGGAGGACCTGAGTTCAAATCTAGCCTCAGACACTTACTAGCTGTGTGACCCAGAGCAAGTCACTTAATCTCTGTCTGCCTCAGTTTCCTCACCAGTAAAATATGGTTGATAATAGCACCTAGGGTTGTTACAAGGATCCAATGAGATAAGATTTGTAAAGTGCTTCGTAAACCTTAAAGCGCTTTATAAATTGCTAGCTAGCTTCCAGTTGACAGTGAATGCTATTCACAAATGGAAGGACTTGTCATAAAAGGTGGTAGGCTCTCTGCCGTGGAGCTTTTCAAGTGGAAGGTAGAGAACCACTTCCATATGCAGAGGTTGCTTCCAATTCCAAAGCTCTGTGGTTCTAATTCAGTAAAAAAAAAAAATTATTAAGAGCCTATTATGAAGTAGCACAGTGGATAGAATGCTGGGCCTGGAGTCAGGAAGACTCGAGTTCAGATCTAGCTTCAGACACTAACTGTGTGACCTTGGGCAAGTCACCTAACCTTGCTTGCCTCAGTTTCCTCAATTGTAAAATGATCTGGAGAAGAAAATGGCAAACCACTCCTGTGTATCTTTGCAAGGAAAACCCCAAATGGGTCACAGAGAGTCAGACATGACTGAACAACAGCAATTATAAATAAGGCATCCTAGGAGAGCTAAAGATACAAAGATTTTAAAAAGAGCTTGCCTTCAAGGTGTTTACAATCTAATGGGGAAAGAAGGTGTTAACAGCTATATAACTAAGGAAGAAGGTAGAGAGTGATAAGGGAAAAGAAGAAAGCCAGATAGTGTCCTAGGGAAATTTGAGGAAGCAGAGATTGAGGGAGGGGAGGAGGAGGAGTTGGTAGAAGGAAAGTAATCACAAAAGGCTTCATGGAGGTGGCACCTCAGCAAAACCATATGTTCAAGAAATATGTCCTAGACACTGGTGAGGCTGGTGCACAGGCACAGAATACACACTGGGGAGAAGAGAATTTAGCTTGGTAGGAACCTAAGAAGACATGAAGGGGAAGAGTATGAAATAAAGCTGAAAACATACTTCTGAACCAGACTATGGGTGGCCTTTAAGGCCTATTCATGACATAAACACTTAAATGTTGTTCACCAAGGGAATGATGAGTCAGATGTATGCATTAAAATGCTGACAGTTGTGTAGATGGATTGAAGAGAGAATGAGAGGCAGTGAGACACCAGTTCATAGTTTATGGCGATAGTCCAGGTGAGAGGTGATGAGGGACTGAATTAGGTGCAGTGCGAGTAGAGGGGAACGGACGGATGTAAGAGACATTGTGAAGGGAGAACCCAGAAGACTCTGAAACTGATTAGATACGAGGGCTGAGGGAGAGGGAAGTCACAAGTGAGTCTGAGCTTTCTAATCTGGGTGAAATGGAAGGAGGGTAATGACATCAGCAGACATAGGGAAGCTGGCAGGAAGGGGAAGCGTTGCCAGGAAAGACGATGACTTCCAATGTGTACGTGTTGAGTCTGAGGAGCTGTCAGGCCATCCAGGTAATGATGTCTAGCAGTCCATAGAAAAACAGGAACCAGAGCCTAGGGCAGAGGTCCAGGAGGGAGATGGAAATTTGAGAATAATCGCCATAGGGATTAATGTTGTAATTTTAGTTATATGCTGTGCATATGTAATTAAGGTTAGAGGAAAAGATTAGATCCCAAGAGGGTATAGAGAAAAGAGAACAGCAAGAAGGACTGAGCCTCGGGCAATATCCACACTTAGGGGAGAGAAGGGGGAAAGAACAGGCATTTATTAAGCACCTACTACAGCCACCTACTGTGAAGTAGGTGCTAATATTATCTTCATTATACAATTGAGGAAACTGAGGCAGATGAGGGAGAATGACTTGCTCATAGCCATACAACTAGCAAGTATCTTTTTGGTCATATTTGAACTCGGGTTTTCCTGATTCCAGACCCAGGACTGTATTCACTGAGCAACCTAGCTTTCCACACGCTTAGAAAAAAGGAGGAAGAGAAACCAATGATGGACACCAGTCGGCAGACAGGATTGTCACCTTAAGAGCAATGTTGTATAAGCTGAGAGAGGGGAGTGTATTCAGAAGAGGGTGGTGTTCAAAGTCAAAGGAGATGCCTTTTGTGAATTAACAGAAACTGTGAGCAAGTAATGGGGTTGTGTGAAGCTTGTAGCTTTGAGCCTCTTCTGACTCTGGACCCATATGCTTCTCAAGGGATGCTGGAACAGAGAGGCATGCATATATGTTTGTGGAAACTGTCTTCCACTGACCACCTCCACCTTGTTGACTGAAAAGGGAAAGATAAGACGAAATTGAAAAAAAATTAACATTTAAGAGATGGAATCAAGAGAATGGTGGGATATGGTCTTACCTCCCATCTCATTCTAAAGGGCACTTAGCAAAGCTTAGGATTACTAAGTAGGAGGAAAAGGCAGAAAAAGAAAAGAATTGTGGGATATGAAAATTCTTAAGCAACAAAGGCAGGAAAGGTGACGTGAGAAGAAATGTGGCATAGTGGATAGAGCACCAGATACATAATCAAGAAGACTAGAGTTTGAATCCTGCTCTGACAGCTACCAGAAGTATGACCGTGGGCAAGTCACTTCATCTCTGAGCCTGTTTATTTATCTATAAACCCAGAATAGCTCCTCCCTCCCAGTATTATCATATGGATCAAATGATCATAGAATTATAGACTTAAAGCTGGAGGGATCCTTAGAAGTCATCAAGTCCAACCCCCCCCCATTTTAATAGTTGAAGGAACTGAGGCACCAAGCGGGTAAGTGATCCCCCCAGAGTCACACATTTATTAAGTGTCTAAGACAGGATTTGAACTCAGGTCGTCATGACTCCAAGTCTAGGGTCCTATCTACTACACCCCCTTGCTGCCTCAAAAATAAGAATATGTATAATGTGTTTTGGGAAGTTTAAAGTCATTTTTACATATCAGGTATTATTATTTCTTTTTCAGGATGTATTGTACATGTATGAACATGCATGTGTGTAAAACTCAGCCCCCTACCCCTGTAAAACTTGCAATATGGAATTTTTTCCATCCATGAGTTACAAAATAGTTTAAACTTCTCAAAAACAACAACAAAAATGAGGGACACCATTCTAGGCTTGTTGATGGGGTCCCCAAATCGGTCAGTCCAGTAGTGTTCCCTAAACCTCCTCTCAAGCCATCAGGGTCAGAAAAACAACATCATTATGACTGTGAGCATTAACCCTGAAGAAATGAAGAGGTCAGGAAATGAGAGCATGGCTTCAATTTGGGTTCAGGTTTTTAGCATTTTGTGTCTTGATCTCTTTTGTTCCTGCCGATCTCTTTTTCATAGACTCTTAGAACTGAAAGGCATCTGGTCTAGTTTCCCAATCAAGCAAGGCAGGTATCATTTTTATAACATACCTGACAGCTGATGTCTCTGCCTCTCTGCCTAAACCCAATTCACAGGAAACCTCATCCATATTTGAATGGTTCTAACACAAAGCTGTTAACGTGTGACAAGCTAAAATCTGCATCCCTGTAACATCTGCTCACTGGTCCTAGTTCTGCTCTTGGGGGCAACAGAGAACAAGTCTTCTTCTTCCAATTGATAACCTTTTAAATATTTGAAAGTATATTTCTCCCCCCATCCTTTTATCCCTCTTGGCTAAGCATCCCCAGTTCCTTAAACTGATTTTCAGAACCCTAATCATTCTGGGCATCCTTCTCTGGAAGGTCTTTTGTCAATGCACCTCCTAAATTATGGTCCCCAGAATGGGATCCCAAAATGTGGTCTAAACATCAGTGAGTTCAGTGGAATCATCACTGCCTGTGAGGTAGATACTATATTTTATTGGCGTTTGTCTCTTAATGTCCTATGCTTATGTTTCTGTTCTCTTCTGCGTGAATTGTAAAAGATGTAAAATTGTAAAAGATTTAGAGATGGAAGAGACCTTTATTTTAGAAAGGAAAAAATGAGGTCTGGAGGATAACAGTCCTCTGAAAGAACTGATGCACATGTATTTCTGTGTGTGTTCTCCAAGAGGTCACTGGGCCTCATTTGCAAACCGTGGGAATGTCTTCAAATGTCATCTGTTAGATTTCCCCAGTCTAAGAGTTAAGATCACTTAAATTCGAGATTCTGGTCTTTACCTCTTTTGTTAGAGACAGTGTTGAAATCTTCAAGGATATGAAGTCTCACCCCAACTATTTAATATGGTAAGACTATGAAGAAGCTTCTTTCAGCAGCAGACAGGACTAAATCAACAAGCAGGCTTCTGTTCCTGGCAGATTTCACTGGGGCTCAAATTTTCCAGAGGGTGAATAATGCTTCCCCAGCTCTTACTTCTAAGTGTCCAGCCTAGAAAAATCCCTTAGCTTGGATTTGGGGATAGTCTTTCATGGAACAGTCTGCCCTGTACTTTGGCCCCCTCCCAAAGGCTTTGTTTGGGTTCCCTTGCACTTAATGGAAGACAGAATCTCAGAGAGGGAAGGAACCTCATCTAGTCCAATCTCTGTCTGACTAGGGTCCTTGCCCCTCACTGCTAGGTGCCTTCTTTCTGAAATTACCTTTCATATACATTGAATATATTTTGTACTTTTTTTGGCTTATCTATCTCATTAGAATGTGACAGATTTTGGTTGTGACTCCATTGATTGCTGTCCCTGTACATAAATGAGGTGCCTTTGAAAACCTACGGCCTTTTTATTTTCCCTACCTCCCCCCTCCCCCCAGTAAAATAGAAGATCCTTAAGGGCACGAGAGATTTTTTTTGTCTTAATATTTCCAGTGTCTTGCATATAGTAGGTGCTTAATAGATGCTCAAACTTTTTAAAATACGACCTCCTTGAAAGTAACACTTATTTTCATCTTTCTTTGTATATCCAGAGCTTAGCATAATAATAATTAGTGTAGAGCTTTAAGACTTTCAAGATTTTAACTCATTTGATCCTCACAACAAATGCAGGAGGTAGGTTCCATTATTATTTCCTTTTTTTTTTGCAGATGGAGAAACTAGGGCACACAGAAGCTGAGGGATTCGCCCAGGTCACACAGCTAGGAAGCATTTGAGACAGGATTCAAACTCAGGTCTTCCTGATTCCCAATCTCTGTGCTCTATCCTTCGTACCACCTCAGCCCTTAATAAATGCTTATTGTCTGGCTGTTGTTATTGGGCTGATCAAGAATCCCTTCTAAGTTACCCACACCAGCTGATAACCTACCGACCAAATTTCTTAATTGCTTTGTTTGCCAAGTTACACCGTTGACTCACCTTGAGCCTGTAGCCCACTGTGCCCTCTAGATCTCATATAGATAAACTGCTATGTGTCCTAATCTCCCCAATCTTATGAATGTGAAGTGTTTGTCTTAAACCCAAACATAGGATTTTTCATTTATCCGTATTACTTTTCGTCTTATTAAATTTGTCCCCATTTTCTATCTAGACTGCCAAGGTCTCTTTGGATCCTGACTGTTATCCACATTGTGTCAGATATTCCTCCTCTCTGTCATCTGAAAATTGCTGTAAGTATGCCATCTGTGCCTACTTCAGTTAAAGAGAATTCTTAAAAAAAAAAAAAAGAGGACAGCCAAGTCTAAAAAAAAGTGATTTTCTCCAAATTTGTCTTTTCCTCCCTTTTTGATTTTGGTGTCCCTGGCCTCCTTCAGCTCCCTGACTTCTACGCCCCTACATTCCATGCCCTTTCCCAAAAGAGGCCTGTTCTGCATAGTAAAGGCAGACGATCTCAACAATAAGCCTGCCTTCCCCTAAAACACCTCGTTCCAATTCAGCATCCATTCTACTGAGAGAGAAACCCAGAGCTCAGGAGTTGGAAGTCAGTTGAGCCTGCAAATTGGCCAGGAGGCTAGGGGGAGGAGTCAGAAGATGATTGGAGGAGCAGGGGGCCGCTCTCCTCCCCTCCCCCACCCTTTTCTAACGGAGTTGTGGCGAGTTCTCTCTGTGAGGGGAGAATAGTCACATGACACGCAGACACCAATGGGAGACCGTGCTCAGAGAGAACGTCATTATAATATGATAATGAGCCCTGAGCCTATAAATAAAGGGCAGCCGACGTAGGCCGCGGCAGTCTTTTTTAGCGTTTTTGGCTTTGGGTTGTAGTTGAACTTTCTGCTCTTTTTCTGGCCTGAGGAAGACATTCTCTGGTCACTTCACAGGCCCGGGAGGCTCTGTAAACGCCTCTCTCTCTCTCTTTCTGTAGAACACAGTTCTCAATGGTTTTCTGTTCTTTGTTTAACAACCTGAGGGGAAATATAAGCTGTGGCTCTTGCCTGGCAGGTAGAGTTAGGAGGAGACCCTCGGCGTCCCAGTCCGAAGTGACCGACCCGCAGGGTAGCCAGAGGCAGGACAGGAGCCACGGGGCCTGTGCCTGAGGCTACTCCAGGGTCCTGTTTCTGAGGGGGGATGGGTGGGCGCGGGGCGCGGGGAAAGCAACCGACCTTAGGGGGAGGGACGAAGAGCAGGGCGCTCGTTCTGGGGTTTAAAGGGGGAGAGGGGGCTTCTTTCCTCCCTCTCTTCTGTTCTGGGGTGATAATCAACGTTCAGAGTCCTCTCTTTATACAAAAACTGTACTAAGTGACGTAAAGTGAGAGGATAAACCTCAAGTGTTCGTGACGGCCCTTGCCTTGAGGCCTGCCTTTAGATCTAACGTTCATTTGATTTTTTGGCTTCTAGAGGTGGTTGATGGTAGAAATTTAAGACCCTTTGGGAAGAAATAGGTATTTTTAAAATATACTTGAGAAAGTCGTTTGGCAGCCTTAAAGGAAAGGGATTTAACTTCTCTGGTGCCATGGTAGAGGCATGATGAAGGAATGTGATTCTAGTTAAGTCCCCCGGACAAAAAGTCTTCAAAATGCTAAAAAGGGAAAATAAGTTATTGTGGGGAGATGAATTTTGGGGTTTAACATTAAAGGAAATTAGTAGAATCGACATGAAAAGGTGAAAAAGTTGTACAACAACGGTTAAAAAATAATTTCAAATGAGGCAAAACATTTGTAGCAAATAAAAAAATTTTAAAGTATATTTTTTAAAATGGCAATACCTGGTGTATTTTCAAATAGTTAAATTTTCAAAACAGGAACAATTTGCAAAAAGGAAACTATTCTCTTGAAAAATGCTCAGCTTCGTTAACAAAGCTGTAACTACTCACATAAAATTGCAAAAATAAAAACAAACCTATGGGGGGGGTGTTATTGAGGAAGAAGTAAAACCAATTGCTTAGTGGAACTATGAATTTGACAATCATTTTAGCATTCCAGTAGTACACTGATTTTGTTTTTTAATCAGACATTTTGGCCCAATGATCCTCATTCGGGATGTAGTCTGAGGTATTATCAAAAACTATTGATTAAAAGATTCTCATGGCAGCATTAGATGTAATTGAGAAAAGAAATCTACATGTGTCAACAGTGGGAGGAAAGCCAAATAAGTTCTGTGAGAATGGAATGCTATAGCCAAACAAAGGTCTTCCAAATATGAAGAGTACAAAGAAATATAGGAAAACTTGGGAAACAAAGCAGACAAGAAGGTGAGCTAGAATAATGGAGTCCACACAAACTTCGCCTGCATAAGTGAAAGAGTGAATGAGAATAAACAAAGACTCTTAATGGAAGAATTCAGTATCTGGAAAAATTGAGATGATTTATATGCTGAAATTTAAACAGCATGTTTTGTATCTTCTCATTTGCCCATGTCAAGTTCCATTGCTCATTTTCATGCTTATGGCTTATTTGAGAGATTCTGATGAGAATAAATCTGAATAATTTTCTATAGGAAGTATCTTCCTTTGAGAACATATTAATTTTTTACAACTCAGGAATAATTGTGGATGAATTTCAACCTACTGCTAACAGCAGTTACCTTGGGGGTGGGGGGGGAAAGAAAGGGGAAGTGAAAATACAGAATCTCTGGAATGTAGTAGCTGGAATTCACAAGGGTCTGTATCTTAACTGAAATTTATTTAAATTTTTCTACTGATATTTTGAGATAACTCAATTTCCATTCAGTAGAAGTATAAAGCCCATTCTCAATCTGCAAGAATTTCACATTTAAAATAATGGAAGCTGCAAAAAGTTTGAAAAGATCCTGATATAATTACCTAGAGATGAAAAGAAATTAGATGAGACTAAGGAAAATTAGAAATGAAACTTGTCCCTGAAGTTGTGTGGGCTATAATGAATCAGCTTCTTTCTATTTCATGGATCTTGAGGTAAAAGAATTTAGAGATATTATGATCCAACCTGCTTATTTTGTAGGAGAGGAAAGGAGATTCAATGACTTGTTCAAGATCACATAGGTCATACATGACAACAGAGTTATAATTACAGGTTACTTGACTCTAAAGCAAATAAAAGCTTTTCTTTCTTTTTTTAAGAAAACTTTTCTGAGGATGTACCTTAAAACTTACTAATGCAAAAAGGAGGTAGGACTCTAAAAAGGAGCTAGCTATTTAAGTGGTCCAGTTGTTTACTTCAGACTAAGTGTTTTCCAGAACTGGTTATAAGGTTTAGTGCCATATAAACAGCAGTTCACTATTGTCAAAAAATCTTACATATCCAAGTATTTTTTCTCTGATTTTTTATCCAACGTGTTTTAGTTAGGGCGGCTAAAGTATTTTGGTCCCTGCATTGTCACTTTTAACATAGATGTATGTCTGGCCATGGAGCAGCTAGGAGGCACAGGGGATGGACTTCTGTGCCTGAAGCAGGAAGACTCATCTTCCTGAGTTCAAATCTGGCCTCAGACTCTTAGTAGCTGTGTGACCCTGGGTAAGTCATTTAACCCTGTTTGCCTCTTTTCTTCATCTGTAAAGTGAGCTGGAGAAGGAAATAGCGAACCGCTCCAGTATCTTAGCCAAGAAAACCCAAATGGGGTCATGAAGAGTAGGACACAACTGGATAACAAATATTTTTCCTTGGAACAATGGATGAGTTCCTATAAAAAGCTGTGTATAATTTTTTTTAATCAAATCTATCACTAAGGAAGGTCACCATTTAAAGGAATGTTATAGTCAATCCATTTGTAAAACATAATCACCATCAGGTTCTGGAGTTTAAAAAACTAAGATGCCCCTGGATCTGATAAGCTCAGTATGTTTTAAAAGTTGAATTTGTAAAAATGTAAGTTAGCTTGAACAGTCTGGTCTATGATTATTAAATCAACTGCAAAAAAAACCCCACAAAAACACATTTTCGTTTTTAGTCTATTGAAGTCTCAGCCCTATATCTACAAATACTTGATACCCATGGTGTGGGGGGAAGCAGAATAATAATCCAGTTAGAGATTTCTGGCAAAGTAGTTATGGAGGTCTATTCCATCACAGAAGACCAAGCTTGATTTTTAAACCAGAAGCTGTTAAGATCAGTACAGGCTTAGGCTCTTAACATATAAGGATAGCCTCATATATTCTGGTCCACTGATCATTCCTTAAAAGTGGTTCATTACTTTGCTACACTTTTCTGTCCACCCATTACAATTTTACACTAGTCTAAAACACTTCTTGGGGCTGTTCATAAGATGATAGATTTAGAGCTGGAAGTCTGATGTCCCTGTTTCCCTCTCCCCCCCTCACCCCCCAACTTTACAGGAGGAAATTTAGCTCAGAAAGATTAAGTGACTTCCCCAAGGTCACAAGCATAAAGTGGCCAAGCCAGGTTAATAGGCCAAGTCCTCTGACTTGAAATCCTGACCTTTCATCACACTCTTCATAGGGCTGAACCTATGGTTAACTCTCTTGTAGGCTGCTCCTCATTTGCAGGCCTAGTTCTCTGTTTCAGAGTGCCTATGTTTATTATATAATAATCCATAAAAATAGTATGGAGTAGGTGAAGGGGATGGTGTCAGATTGATAGGGCACAAGGCCAGTTGTAGGTTCTCACTACCTCAAGCCTGAACTATTATTGCAAGAGGTGGTATCCTTGATTCATATCTCCCCATTCTACTCTATCATCATCCACTGGGCTATCAAAGTTATCTTCCTAAAGTGCAGGTCTGACCGTATATCACGTGTTCTCTTTTCACCCCTCCCTCCTAATTCACTAAACTCCAATTGCTTTCTATCACTTCCAAGATCAAATATGAAATCCCCTGTGTGGCTTCTAAAGCCCTTCATAGTGTCTCCTTCCTGCCTTTCCAGTCTTAGTGAAAACTTTATTCTCCTTTATACAGTCTGTGTGATCCAGTGACAATGTCTTGCTTTCTTCTGTTCCTCACACAAACATTCTCTCTTCTGACTGTGCATTTTCATTACTGTCACCCATGCCTGGGATTCTCTCTATCTTCATTCAAGACTTGGCCAAAGTTTCCCCTTCTTTAAGCTTTTCCCCCTATCCCTTAATGCTAGTTGTGTTTTTACTCTGAATTAATTCCAATTTATCTTGTATACATCTTCTATGTATAGACGTTATCTACAAGTTGGCAAGTTGTCCCTCTTCACCACCCTGCCCATTGGATTGTGAGCTCCTTGAGGACAGAGACTATTTACCTTTATCTCCCTAGAGCTTAACAT